AACCTGGTCAAGATATAGATATTAAAAAATTTAATATTATAGCCAAGACATTGCTCATATCTCTTGAAGAGGGATCTAGATACTATTAGGAGATTCGAAATCTATATCCTAATATAAAAGATGGTTAATATATAGGGTGCACAACAGCTTGTCTATGCTGCACTCAAAGATAAAATTGAAATCTAATAAAAATTTTATTAGCAATAAAATCAATATTAAGTTAATTTTTTGGATCACATAAAACCTGAGTGCCGTAAGAGATCCAAAAAATTAATTTATATAAAATTTTAATTAGTTGGGTTATAAGATTCAATAAAGTTTATATGGGCTAAATTAAAAAATTAATTCAATTAATTAGTTAACTAATATAATTAATTTATTTAAAGGGCTGATCATGAATATAAAAGTCCAACTAACCAACTTGCAAAACGCATAAGCGAAGCAAGACATGCTATCCAATGTTTTTTGTGTGAAGGAGTTATAAAAATTAAAATAGATTTGTGTAAGCAAAAAGCAATGATATCTGTAAAACATCTGGCTTATGAATGTCTGACATATAGGAAAACAAAATTATCTGATAATGCTATAATATAGATACAACAAAATGGTAATAGCATTTCACGAAAAATTAAGTTCTATAAGTGGCTTTGCAATGAGAATTTAATTGACCCATCGTTACATACTTATCACCAAGTATATTATTGGATACATAAATTCTTAGTAAATCAATATGTAACTGATGTTGAAAATCAGTTAAATTCAGCAAAAAACTTTTTAGAACAAAGAGAGTTAATAGATGAAGGGTATAAAGTTATTTTATATTGTAAGAATAAGTTTGTGCATGCACTTGGTTTTACTACACCATTTTTTCAAGCTTCAGAAAATATTACTGAAATTGTTGTTAACTCAACATTTAAAACAAACCAGGAACGATTTGAACTCTTTGCTGTAAATTTTAATTGTGGTGGGTATGGCATTCCTTTTGCATATCTGTATGTAGATACATATACTGCAACAAGAGAACATCTTTTGGATCCAAGGTATATATTGTATGCTAAAAGAATTAAGTTATTTAAATTATTAAAAATCTGAATTTAAAATTTAAAATTTAAGCAATAAGATAAATATGAGAGTTGGTGTACTTAATGAATTTTTTAAAAGCTTGCGCAATGAATGCATTTTACCTGCTTTTGTGCTGCTTGACAAAGATGCTGGAGAAATTGCAGCTGTTCATGAAGCTTGGTCCCAAACTACAGTAATACAACTTTGTCTTTGGCATGTAAAGCATGCTATTAAATGCAAATTAAAAG